AAGCCATAGCACTGTGCCTTCCAACGATACGTCAAGCTGTCAGTGGAGGCCTTGGCCTGCACAGCAGAAATGTCTCTCTCTAGCTTCCCAGTGAGCTCGTTGGGAGTCCACAGCCGAGCCGAGCCGTGTTCAACCTTTCCCCATGACTCACTGGTGAGCGTCTTTATTTTTAAACATTTTTGCTCTCTCTCCGTTGCCGTGTGTTTACTCTGCCTGAGAGAGGCCGCTGTTATGGACTTCACACAACGTTTGTTTATGGCTTCTTTAATCAGGACCAGATAATGGAGAGTTGTCTCCATCTGTGGGCGCATCYCCAGAAGCTGACTGCGTACATGTGTCTCCATGAGTGTGTTTGTGCGCTGCTCGACTTTAACGATCCTTCCAGAATGTTCTAATAAATACTCTCCTCAACGGATAATTGCTGTACAGACGATGAATAGGATTAAGGTGTGTTTGTGTATTGTTCATGAGGCCACACACCTTTTTGGTGTTGCACATGATGTCACACAGTCCTAATTATGTCATCCGGTGTGCTATTACTGCTTTCTGTGTAATCTCCATGACAACTTTACAGTCACTTATATTCATCTCATGGTCTAATGTGTTAAACTTGTTCTATTACATTCAAGAAACTAKAAAAACTGCATCAGAAACAGATTATATGGACCATAAAGCATATCTCTATGTAAATTGCTGCTTCCCCATCTCCATTTTTTTTACCACTTATCCATAGTCGGGTCGCAGAGGCAACAGATGTAGGAGAGAAACACTGACATAATCCTTCCAGTGAGTCCTGGGTCTACCCTTACCAGTGAGACATGCTCGGAACACCTCTGAAAGAAGGCATCCAGGAGGCATCAGATGCCCAAACATCCTTAACTGACTCTTTTCGATGTGGAGGAGCAGCGTCTCTTACTCTGAAAGTCTATCAGATGGAGCTCCTCACTCTGTCTCTAAAGCTGAGCCCAGCCAACCTATGAAGGATACTCATTTTGGTCATTTGTATCTGGGATCTCGTTCTGTCGGTTATGATCCATGCCTCTTGACCATAGGTGAGAGTTGGAACGTAGGCAGGCCAGTGYATCATGAGTTTGCCTTTYGACTCAACTCTTTCTTCACYACGACCGACAGAAGCAACAACCTCATTACTGAGGATGAGGCCCCAGTYTGTGAATCCATCKCCCACTCCATCCTGCCACTGARAATTAAAGCAATTCATTGTGGGTGTCACATACTTAAATTATATTGCTTCTTTTTTTCAATAACTTTGTAAATTTCTACTTTAGATCTCATTGTTGAATATCAAGTTAAAATGTGGGCATCAGGAGTTTGTATGCAGATGGATTCCATTGAAACTCTCCAAAAGTAATCATTGAAAGTASGGTTTCAACTAAWTGATTCAAGATGGTCACCACAACTAACAAACCTTAGCATACTCGGYCAGTTTTACAGATGTTGAGCTAAAATGATCTTTTGTATTAGCTGAGAGTCATCACCATCACATACTCTAACTGCTAACAAATCATCTAAAATATTTTAAAATGTTACGAGCCAACAKGCTGAATACAGGACATGCACCCACCCCCGACGGAGGGCAGCCCWCATCCGAACCCAGGAGGTAGACCCATTTATTCTGGGGTGGAGAGGATCAGACAGCTAAGGCCCGGCCCGGACCGAACCAGGCCGGCCGGTCAGCCCCCCTGCTGCAGCGAAGCCGCGCCCACAACCACCCCCACACACCACCCCCACACTCCACCAATGGCCAAGCGCGCACCCCCAGCCGACCAAGTAGGGGTCTCTGTGGACGAGTGCGGACGAGAGGGCGTGTCACAACGAAAGGCGATTCTAAAGCGACACACCTGATTTGATGGACTTTGTTAAAAGGACACATCTGACTGGACAAGCAAAAAAGGGGCGACACCCTAAGGCACCACCTGATTGGACAAGAACAAAAGGGGCATTACTGTATGGCACCACTTTTTCTGGAGACCCCTATTGGG